AGTGTCTTGAACTCTGCATCTAATAGGTTGGCTATGTCTTCATCACTTAGTTCTATTTTTGAGTTTTGATCTGTTCTTTCATGTGGTCCATATTTTTTGTCTAGGCACACTTATTATGTAGTAAACAAAAGAGCCTTAGGTATTGGCCAGAGTGGGACAACCCAAATCACTGCACTGTGGCTCTGTATGTGGGGGAGGAGTCTGAGAGGGAACAATGCCACTTGCTCAACTCTCTGCTGGCTTTCAGTCACTTCCTCCTCTACCCACAAGCAAATCGGGCCCTGATTCTCAGCACCAGAAGGGTGGGCGATATTGTGTATGTTCTGGGAGCCTGTGGTTCTCTCCAAAGAACTCTCCTGCAAGGCTGGGAATTTCTCCTTCTGCCTCAACACCCACAGGTTTTTTCAGTGAGAGATTTTGAGGCTTTAGTTCCCCGCACTGGAACCCTAAGGTTTTGTGGTCGGTCTGTCTCTCTCCCTAGTTGTCCCTCCCAGTTTATCTGCATGCAAAGGTGGGACTGCCCACTCTGCCAGCTGCCACCTTGCCATGAGTCCTCTCCATCCCAGCTGCCCATCTCTGCCTCGCCTACTGATCTGGATGAATGTTTCTTCTTTAACTCCTTGGCTGTCAGACTTCCATACAGTTTGATGCTCTGGCGGTTCTGGTTATTTTTTAACTTTGTTGTTGTCCTTCTTTTAGTTGTGCAAGGAGTCAAAGTGTATCTCCCTACACCTCCATCTTGGCTGGATGTTCAGAGTAAGAATTTTAGAATAATAATTGATACTGTAGGGTAAAATTTGTAAATGTGATTATTTTACCTGGAATCTGCTCATGTTGTTCATTGTCTACTTTATTTGTAAACGACATCAATGTATCCATTAACAGAAAGAAAATATACACTTCACCTTCATCTGGAGTAGGCCCATATTGCCTCCTATAAATTTTAACACAGGAAGAAGTTGTCGTGTGATATTTCAAATGATGTTCTTAAAATAAGTCTCATTACTTAGAAATATAGGAAGCCTTGATTTTAAAAATCTTTCTTAAGAAAAGAGAGTGAGAGAAAGTAATAGTCAGAACACATTGAGTGTAGTAATAAGAAAGAAAGCCACACACCCCCAGGTGTGCCACCCATCTCAACAGCCTATTCAATGGATCCTGTGAAAAAGACACAGAAATCCCAGCAGGGCTGCAAATCCCAATTTTATGATAAAGGACCCTTAGAAAATTCGAGATTCTAACAGGAGGACCTGTTAGAATGCAAACCAATTGTGGTTGAAAAACAAGTTTGACTCAGGCCCTCATGTGAAAGTTTTTTTAATTTATTTTTTAATAACTTGCCTGTGATGAATAAAGCATTATGGAATGGTAGGTAGTCCTTAATCTCAGCCCAGTGCCATTCACTTTATAAAACAACACTTAAACCAAGACGGTTAGCTAAAAACAACCCTTATTTTTATGTTTTTTCCCCCCATTCTCTTTAATTCTTTTTACCATTGTTCCTCTTTTTGATTTTCCAAGCCACTGGTAACATCAAAGGATGTTAGCATTGATTAATATCTTCACCAACAGTGTCCTGGTATGAATCCCAGATTATTCCTCAGTCATTTACTCAAGTGTTTCTCTGTGATATGTTGGATGTCAGCAAATGGCCGTGTTCTCTTTAAAAGGCAACATTTTGTACCTGCAGTGGAGATGAATGCATCTATGCAGACATTCATTTGTCTTTTTCTTTTGGGAGGAGTAAATTATCCCCTAGAAAAAGATCAATTTTATGACCCCATATTTTAAGAAAGAGGATTAGATGCTCTCCTAATCTCAAACAACATCAGTCTTCTTGTTTAAGTGAAGCAGAATCCATTAACAAAGTTTTGAAATGCAGGTTTATCAACAAAAGTGACTTTCTTTTAGGTAAGGTGGGTTTTTAAATGGGCATTAGGTGAAGCCACAGGTGTAATGGATTTTTAAATGGTTTGTTTTTTTAAAGAGGTCTATTTCATCATGTGGTTTACTTTATCATGATTTCTAATGGGAAAAAGGAAATGAATATTTGTTCATCATATTCCAGGTGGTTAATTTCTGATAGTAGATACTTATAAATTGTATATTAGCAACTTAAACTTTAAGAGGAGAGAATGTCTCTTTATTTTTTTCCAGCATCAATAATGGCCATTTTAGACATATTGAAAGTACATTTTACGGGTTTATTATTTTAAAAATAAACTCCAAATTAAAATGTATTCCTTCATTTGCACATATTACTAATGTCATGTCCACACTGCTTTATTTTGTAGTTGATTACAAGATTTTCTCTTACCTCTCTACCAGGCTGAAATCACCTGGAGGTCTAGAACTGGAACGGATGAATTTCATTTCTGCTTGTAGAGACCTGACTTGGTGCTTACTTCCTGGGTGTTCAATAAGTAATTGTTGACTGGATTCAGATTACTGCTACCCGTAGACATTTTTACTGGTAGTGTGATGCTAGTTTCCTAAAAATAAAATTCTGTAACGATTTTGCACCAGTCACAGGAATTAAAATGTATCTGGTAAAGAAGGTTACAAAGTGAAAAGAACTTCACATTTGAAATCAGAAAGACAATTGAGCAACCTGGTAGGTCAGTCAGTGTTTTCAAATTGTGGGTCAGGACACCTTGGTGGGACACAAGTGGGGTACGTGACTGGCATATTTTTAAATAAAAAAGTACAATTTTTCAAAGAAACATGCTAGGAAAGGATAAAACATGTTATTTTATTTTTTGTTTGTTTGTTTCAGAGATAGACCTGTGTGTGTGTGTGTGTGTGTGTGTGTGTGTGTGTTTGATGTGAAACTGAGTCACAATATTCAATATGGACTGTTGTCAAAAGAAAAGTTAAAAAAAAACACTAAGCTAGTGGGTATTTCAATGCTTCGTCACAACTCTGAGCCTTAATTTCCCATCTATAAAATGTGGCTAATGATAACTATTTCGAAGATCTAGTCTAGGATTAATGGTACTAATATATGAAGTACATTTATAGCACACTTATTCCAGAAGAAAATGCTAAGAAGTTTACACATTTTTTTCTGTGAAGGAATCCATGCATTTATCAAATCAGTTCCCATTAATTCATAAACATTTGCAATTGCTTATTCCTGAGTTTACTCTAAATTTTTCCTTCATTTTGTTCATTGCATTTGTCCTGAGTGCTTAATTAGAAGCAAAAGTACAAAGGGTGGTCCCATTGGTCATTTTCAGCGGTTCTGCTGGCTGTGAGCCTGGAGGCAAATGTAGCCAAGGTTGGGGAATGTGAGAACAGGGAAACCTGTAAGGAAGAAGAAAACTGGGAGGTGAGCGTCACGGTGGCTGCACAGACAAAAGTGACTTTTCAGGAAGATTATTCATCTCGCCAAGAAGCAGATAAAGAAAGGGATACGGTGATTCTAGTGGAATGAAGTTTTCTGTAGCCTTTGAGAATGTTTTGAGTGGCTTTAGGTCTTTTTGATAAAATAGGAAACTTAAAAGATACTGCAGCTCCTAATATAATCTTTGTATCTGAAAATGGCTCTCCCCTCTAAAACAATATATAGACAAGAAACCTGAGTTAGATAATGTGACCTGATTTGCCTAAATGATAGAGAGCTGAAATCAGAATATGTGTTTTTTGACTTTGAGTCCACCACTCTTTCTCATACCAGTGTTGATGGATTATTGATTGTCCTGACAGGTTCTCCCTGAGTCTGACGGCCTCAGGCAGCTGAGCCTTTTCTTGCACATGGTGTAGCCACACATTGCACCTAAGTCTAGGATCTTTCCTCTCCTACTACCATTGCAGAGCAGCTTTGTCGGATGGATCAGAGAGCCAAAAGAAGCCTTAGAGATCTTCTCATTCAGAAATTTTCAAATGTTATTTTAACAGTGAGAACATTTCTTCAAACAAAATTTATGTGGCGGCATAATTTATACAGCAGATTTTTTAAATGATCTATTTAGAATTAGTACTAAGGGAACTGGAGCACTGCCTGCCCCTACCTCCTCCTCCCACCCACTACAGTAAAACCACTAGGCTCTTAAGAAGCACCATAATTTCTAAAAATCTACTTAATTGCCTTTGTTTTATAACCAAGGTTTCTTTGAATTCAAGAGAAAGAAAAATTATTTTAGGCTATCCTAGAAGAAAAATCTACTCTCTCAAACACAGCAGGAAGAGGCTCCGGAGTGGATTGCTGTGAGCAGGACTCAGAGGAGCACAGGGGAAGATGCACAGTATGAGGACATGGGCCCTTCCGCTGCCCCAAACAGGCACTTAGGAGTAGTGATCGACTTGAGAGTGTAATTGACCCACTATTTCTAATAACTTCCCCAAAGAAAACAAAATCTGTGAAAATAGACATTTCTCTGATATAAATAATTGTAAGTGCTGATTTGAAATACTTTTGTGTAGGTGCCTTGTGGGGTCTGTGGCAATGGTTTCTTTCAGCAAATTCTGAAAAATAGCAACTGATCCGGACAAGCTGCCCTGAAATCTGATGGAAGTGTCTCTAAAGTAGGGGTGTCAAGCTCATTTTCACCAGGGGCCACATCAGCCTCCTCAACAGTTAAGGAGCAGTTACATTTACACAGTTCTAAAACTATTTCGGCCCTTTGAAAGCAACCGTGAGGCTGATGTGGCTGCCGGTGACAATGAGTTTGACAGCCCTGCAAAAGAAGAGGGTGCTTTTTCTTTCATCAATTATTTGCAAATCAGTTGGAGCCTCCACTGCCTCCCAAGGATGAGGTTCAATGATCTAGGATGAGGGAAAAGAAAGCAGGGCCAAAATCAGACACTCACGATTTACATAGGTACAGACCCACGAACTTGATCCCAAGGCCAGGTTTAGTTGTTACTGTTGTTTTTAATGGTTACAGTGCCAGGGAGCTCACAGTTTGTCATTTCCCAGAACCTAGATTCCCTCAAGTTGGTAGCTTATTCATGACCTGTTTCAATGCTCTTTTCATCCTGAATCAGTGACCGAGTTTTTAATAGTATCTGCCATCCTGGGCTGAAGACTCTTCTTGCCCAGTACCACTTACTAGCTTAGCACACGGGGGCAACTCTCCCTCAGGAAGAAAGTGAGTCTGCGTGCCAGTGGTGCCGATCACCAGCACGTTGTTCTTCAAGTCAATGCAACACTGGTGTCTCCTGAGCACATCTAGCCCTAGAAGCATGTCCATGGGCTGTTCCTCAAGGATAGAGAAAGGGCATTGTAAGAAGTCGCCCTCGATTTGAATCTGAGCTAGATGGACTCGGCCCATGATTCTCTGTGTGCCCACCCCTTTAGCAACCCCGGCCCACCTTCGGTCCACCAGACGGATTATATTACATCTCTCAGCACAGGCTTGGCTCATAATAGTCATCTGAGCACCCGAGTCAACAAAAGCCTTCAGAGGATGTCCATTCACTTTGCAGTTGATATAGAGCATAGCCACTTGTCCAAAACTCTCTGGAGCCACTTCTATCGCTATATTCATGTTTTCCTCGATGTTTTGCTGCCGAATTTCTTCTTCTATTTTGGCCTGAGCTTCCAAATCACATGGGTCAGCACAGTAGAGGTGAAGCCTCTCTTGCTCTCTCAGGGCACTTTCCCTCTGCTGATCCATCAGGACCTGAGAAAACGTCTCAAGGTTTCCACTGAGCAGGGCTTCTGCCAAGGGAGGATTGCGTACCTTCAGCAAAGACAGATCATGGGGACTGGACAGCAGCATGCTTCGAATCAGGGCAGGGCTGCTCAGACCTTGAGCAGACGTCATCTCTCCAGAGTCTAGGCCATGGGACTGCCGGGATGAGTGTGCCCGCTGCTGCTGCTGCTGCCGGGGGCTTGATGTCCCCGGCATGGCCATCCCAGTGAGATCTGCCAGACGCAGGCTTGATGAGCGACCTGAGGGCCGAGGTCCCACATTCTCCTTCTGAAGTAAAACCACCACATCACCGTCTTTGAGGCCATAGGAGCCCAGAGAAGAGTGGTCGTCAGCGAGGAGCCTCTCCATGTAGAAAATCTGGATCTCTTCAGCAGGGATGCCAGACTCGAGCTCACAGAGGACTCGGAAGTTGCAAAGTTCAAAGTCAGGGCGGACCTGGAGGGAGAAAGTTAGCTCGGAGAGGTCCCTCTGAACACAGTACACAGTGACCAGCATGGCATGGGCCCAGGGGGGCCATGTGAGCAGAGGGGATCAATTGTTCACTGGCTGGCTGGAGCTGGTCTCTGCTGGTGACTCAGCAGCTCCTCAGACTGGGTGCCTTGGCCTAGGTTCATTCACCTCTCAAAAAGGCTCAGCCGCTCGCCAGTCTGGGGACTGCCCGCCAGCCTCAGTGCCCACTGCCTGGCCCCACGGAACCTTGAGGTAACATGCTGTGTTCCAAAGTGCATTTGTATGTGTGCCGTTTGGAACTGAGAATGTCCGTTCCCATAGAAACAAAGTTACTTAAGTCCATTAGCTTCCAGGGCCAGCGGTTTAAGGCCTATTAAACCCTATGATACAAAAAAGATTTCAACTCTTCCTAAATATCATCAGTCTATTCTGTGTCTATGAGTCTGCTTCTGTTTTGTTTGTTTCTTAATTGTATTCTTTAGATACTACAATGTAAGTGAAATCTTACAGTATTTGTCTTTTCCTGACTGACTTCACTGAGCTTAATACCCTCTAGGTCCATCCATACTGTTGCAAATGGTAAAAATTTGTTCTTTTTAATGGCTAGGTAATATTTCATTGTATATATGTACCACAGCTTTTCTTATCCATTTGTCTATTGATGGGAAATCATAAATAACACTGCGGTGATCACAGGGTTGCATCTATTTCAAATTGGTGTTTTTGGGTTTCTTCAGGTACATACACGAGAATTGGAATTGCTGTATCATAAGGCAGGTCCATTTTTTCATTTTTGCGGACCCTCAGCACTGTTTTGCAAAGTGACTGCACCAGTCTGCAGTCCCACCAACAAACAGTGCAGGAGGGTTCCCTTTGTGATGAAAGCATTTTTATAGAATAGAGGTGTTTGGGGCAAAGCAAGAATTCCCAGTTCACATACAAAGAAGCTGTTTTTATATATGTAACCATTGCCTTTCCCGATACTGGACATAATGCAGTATGTTTTATCAGCTTGCTGTAATTCTTTACTTTCAGTAGCATTGTTAACTTAGGTGCTTTTTACTAATTTACTCTTTACTGAGAACACACAAAGGAAATCAAAGACCCTCAGGTTTGGCCAATTAACTGTCATCGTTCTGTAGATCACACAAGGTCAGGATTGCCAAAGATCTTTTGGAGTCTAGTTCAGCTGCCCATCTAGGCCTTAAACCTCTGTTGCAAAACTGCCTGGAAACTGAAAAGATAAACACAGGCTCCTGGGGATGTTTAGCCCTTCTGTTTATAGGTTGTTTGAGTCTTTCATTTTACTCAGCGCTATGGGGGACGGGGAGCAAAAGTAGGTTTGCAGGTGTGAGTGTGAAAACTAATGCTACAATTAATAAATGATATAAGAACAAACTGTTTTGTGCACTCAGAACTGTAAACTTACTTTAGCCCCACCACATGTATAATTCTTTTACTTCAAATTTTTAATTAAAAACCTCTTCTGGTTATGTAATAAACTGGAGGGTCATTGGGAATATATCTAGAAACTGCTAAAATAAAAATTCTTATACCATACTTCACAGAGCACTGAGAAATGGGAGCTCTGAATTACCTAGATGTGCCAATCTAGGTAACTGAAGGTTATGGAAACTTTTCTTGAGGAACCTTTTGTAAACTTATTTCCTTACTTTCTTCCCTGGTAAGTACAATATAGGGACATAATTGAATCTTTCTTTGATAAGTGAGACCGATGCAAGTTCTCAGGGCTATCACTCAAAAAAATCAATTCTCATTGTGTAGCCTAAATACCCAGAAAACAGGAAAGATGACACTGATTTCATACTGGCCAAGTAAGTAACCCCAAAGTTAGTTTTTGGAATAAATCCACCATAATACCTTTTCTAATTTGTCTCTTTATAAAAACTTATTGCAGCAAAAAAAAAATCCATGTAATTGACGGCTCCACTTCAATATCAGTTGATAGTTAAAGTACTGTCTCTTGCTTACAGAGCAAAATAAATGTCTTTTCTTAAAAAAATAGTAGCTGCATAAATGTCTTTATGTAACATATGCAATAATTTTTACATGTTAAGCAAGTCAATTAGTTTGCTGTGTTTGGATTTCTTTGTGCTAGTGGTATTACTTTTAAAATAAAGTGCAATCGAGACTTATTAAGACAGTTCAATCACCCTTCGAGATTTTCAGTGCAACTTAGGAAAGATGCAGAATTTAAAGCAGTGTCCTTAGGTTAAAAAATTAATTTTTCTGCCCTGGCCAGTTGGCTCAGTTGGAACATTATCCTTTATACCAAAAAGTTTGTAGGTCCAATTTCTGGTCAGGGTACATACCTAGGTTGCAGGTTCAATCCCCTGCCAGGACACATGTAGGAGGCAACTAATCCATGCTTCTCTCTCACATCGATATTTGTCTTCCTCTCTCTCTCTCTCTCTCTCTCTCTCGGCCCCCTCCCTAGCACCCTCCTTCTCCACATCTCTCTGTAAAATGAATAAAAACCTATCCTTGGGTGAGATTTTAAAATTTTAATTTGGGTGGTTTTTTTTTGCTTTACCATAATGCAATAAATTGTGCTAGAAGTGTCATAAATGAATAACATTTATTTTTTTCAGGTAGTTCATTATTTAACAGAAGCATTAAAAATGCTTAAATGAGCCCTGACAAGCATGGCTCAGTTGGTTGTGTGAGATCCCGCAAAGTGAAGGGTAGCCTTTGATTTCCAGCCAGGGCACCTGCCTGGGCTGTGGGGCAGGCCCCTGTGGGCACGTGCAAGGGCAACTGCTCAGTGTTTCTCTTGCACATCGATGTTTCTGTCCCCCTCTCTTCCTCCCTCCCTTCTCTCTTTCTAAAAATAAATAAAATCTTTTTTTAAAATGCTCTAATGAAAGTTCAATCTTTTATTAGTATATTTGGAGATCTCCCATATGAAAAGCTTAGAGTCCCCCATCTCTGGAGTTTAACGTCATCACGCCCTCTTAGGTGTGCAATTGAAGAAACTTGGGCTACCTAAGAGTTTAATCTGAATGAACCTTCTGGGAACCCAGCTAATAGTTTTCCTTCCCTGTAAGGAGAGAAGACACACACACACATATACCCAAGCATACACATGGAGAGAGGAACAAGAAGAGGATGAGCAAGAATGCAGTCAGGACATGTTTTCAATTACTTTGAAAGTGCAACTGAAAGATGACATCATTCTCCATCAGAGAATGTTTTTATGGCATGTTTTATTTATTGCTATAGGTTATTAGTTTCAATATTGTACCATGAAAAGAGATGGCTTTTAATTTGTGTATTTCATGTAGAAAATAATACAACATATGATAATCTCTTGATAATTTTGCTTTTTAAAAGTACACAAGGTGAAGCAAAAGCAGGATTACTGTTGTGAGTTTATTATTGTATTATTATTTATTAATTACTGTATTATTTTCCATGCAAACAACTGTAAACCTACTTTTGCCACGCCCTGTATATTTTTCAAATCTAAATGTGTGTGTGTGTGTGTTTACTTATTTTTAAGAAAGTTCGCTGCCTCCTTTTTTTGCCTTAGGATCCGTCTAATATCTTACTCATATAAAAATTACTCTGATCTGAGAGACGCATGCCTTGTTATTGAAAGTTTAAAGATTATTTGAAATTTCTGAGAGAAATACTTATAAATCAAATAAATTTAGTGTAACAAATTAAGAACGGGATAAAAATAATTTACAACTTTGGATTGACAGTTACTTGTTTCCTAAGTACTTCAGAAAAGAAATGTTTTCATGTTCTTATTCCTGCAGAGGAAGAATAACCAGGTAACACTAAATAGTAAGATTAATAATAGGGCCTCACATTTTTTATTCAGTCATTGTTGAGGAATACCATTCAAACCAATTTTTTATTGTGTATTATTTTGTAGTAATTTGTAATAAACTCATTTTGAAAATGTCACTAGCCTTAACCAGTGTGGCTCAGTTGGATGGAACGTTGTCCCATAACCAGGAGGTCGCAGGATCAATTCCCAGTCAGAGCACATACCCAGGTTATGGCTCAGTCCCGGTCTGCGTGGCCGAGCGTGGATGGGAAGGCAACTGATTGTTGTTTCCATTTCACGTCAATGTTTCTCTTTCTGCCCCTTGCTCTCTTTTTCTAAAAGCAATGGGGTAAAAAAGTCCTTGGGTGAGAATAAAAAATTAATAAATTAAAATTAAAAAATTAAAAATCACTGTCACCGTAAGTCAGAAATACCAAAGTGACCTATTTATAAATTCAAGTATACTTTAATCACTTCAACATAAATTTTCACTGTCAGAATATTAATGTTTGTATATAGATGAATTCATCATTGTATTCAGGTAACTATGTCTTATCCTAAAAATGAGAAAATTAGCTGGTTCATAAGGTGTTAATAATTAATCAACAAAGTATTAACCTCTGAGCATCTTCTAGGTGCCTATCACTTCTTAGGGTAATTGATGGAAAAGACATATTTTTGAGCACATTCCTTAATCTCCAAGAGCAATAATGTGTATTAGACTAAAATATCAAACTATAGGTTTGAAAGTCAGCACCTTTATTAAATCATTTTTATACTTTTATTTTAGAAATTATATCTTCATTTCATTAAAACTATTCCCATGAGATGTTTACTCCACTAATTATTTTTACTGTCAGATATACCTTATCTTATTCAACCTGGAAACTCCAGAGTTCTAACCAAGGTCTTGGTCATGATGTACCACCAGAAAAGTTTGAATGACTGGCAAAACTACCATATAGACCTGCACATCGGACAAGAGTGGCAGTGAAATCCCAGGTCTTCGTGTGTGAGGAGAAGGGAGTTCTCTCTTCTCAGGAGCTGTCTCCTGAGGAGTTCTTCCTCCATTCTCTCTCAGTGCTGTCAGGAGGGTGCTGCGGAGGTTTGAAAGCAGTTTGGGGTTGTTTTCTATGCAGGTCTAATTTTGTGTTCATGTGTATGTGTGCTTTCTATGCTTTCACGCTGCTCGCCCTTCCAGCACAGTCATTCCTAGTGGGCATCAGTGGGGGGCAACATCATTCTC